AACATTTCGTTCCATGTTTACACTCAATGCGATCATCGTCTCCTTGATAATCGGAATGATGACGAGCGTAGTTTTGTGATTGATGATGGGGTGGTGACCGCCGTCCCGATGGTGATTGACGTCTCGATAGTGATTGAGGACGCGGTGGTGACCGATGCCCCACCGGTGATTGATATCGTGATGGTGATCGACGTCCTGATGGCGATTGACGTCGTGATGGTGATCGAATTTCACGTGGTGATTGGCGTCTTGGTGATGACCGACGTCCTGATGGCGATTGACGTCGTGATGGTGATCGAAGTTCACGTGGTGATTGGCGTCTTGCTGATGACCGACGTCCTGATGGTGATTGACGTCGTGATGGTGGTCGAAGTTCACGTGGTGATTGGCGTCTTGGTGATGACCGACGTCCTGATGGTGATTGACGCCGCGGTTGTGCACCTGATGAGAAAATTCGTTTTGAAATGTTAATAAACTCATCGACCTTACCCTCATTACCGATTTTTACCAACGATATAGGCACTTTCTCACCATGTGAATATTTTATGCAATGTTTTGATGATTGATCTTTACATCGATGTTGATCACGGCAGGGAATGAGAAAATCAGGCAAGTCTGAATGACGGTACTGTGCCCGATGAATGGGATCTCTTTTTTCTTTACATGTCTTGTCGTTCTTACATATATCCACGTTATGAGGTTCGTGTACTAGATAGGGTTCCTTTGTTTGATTTCGACACCGTTCAGAGTACCGGCAAGGATGCGTAAATTTGGAATTATGTGATTCATCATCTTCAGAATATTGTTTGAGACAGTTCACTGAGTCTGGGCAAGGTATTGCTGAACTATCACCAGCAATCCAGTTCACAAGTTTTCTGAATAGTGTGGGAGATTTGTCATTACTAGAAGATTTCTCTTGTGCAGGGCTTGACACGCGATCAGTTGATCTGGAATTTTCTTTGGCGTCGTATGAATCAGGAAAGGAAAAGCTATCCTGCTTGAAGTCGTCATCAATGGACGGATGTAAATCAGGTATTTTCTCAAAACAAATAGTCAAGTTTCGAATAGGAACTTTCTTCGAACCAGCACTAACATGAATATAGTCTAACTGACCGAAATCAAGCTCGTGTTTAGCGAATGTGCAAGAAATTTTATCAGTATTGTAGATTGCGTTCGGACCAACATGAGAAAGTGTCGTTTTCCCTGTTTCTCGTTCAATAGTTAAGCAGTATGTCATAAAATTATCCGTATTACGGCCAAGATAGAATGTATTTGAACCATCTTTAAAACGACGATCACGGAGAATCACATCGTGTTTATAAGGCTCATTATTTGATAAGTATGAATATGTTTCACGATAGTCATTTGTAGAAGTGTCTGGTCTTTCAGCAACATAACATACAAGACAGCGCAAATGTGGTTGCTGTGCTTTGGGATCGATCGGTTCATTTGATATAGTAAGCATCATGTCACCATACATTGCTTGCCAATAGATATACATAATCTTCCAAGGACGCTTATGATTATCATCGTATTGAGAGTAGGCTTGTGATATTGTTAGAGGCAAAATAATGTGATCTTCGAAATGGGTTGGTCGTACTGTAATCACTATTCCTCTCAATTTGTCTTGTCGATCAGCATTGCGTGCAAATTTCTCTGCTAATTCCTTGAGTACGAAATCTTGATATTCCCCACGCACTTTATCCGATGGTTTAGATCCTCCTCCAGCCGTCTGGCTCACGTCAATTTTATGAGATGTAATTTTAAGGTGTTTACCGAAAGCTTTTTTAGCTGAATTTTGAGTCGCTTCGCTTAGTGACTTAAATAAGCTTTCTGGAATATACACATGATCAATGTAATCAAGAGGTATCAATTGAGGAAGATGTCCTTCAAATACTTGATGTGAATCGATGGTTGCCCAATGTTTTTGTACTGATTTAAGATCCACATTGAGTGTTTTCTTGGATGCACCTACTCTGGCCATCAACTCCATAGCGGCTGCATGTTCATAGCCTGGTACCGCACAATGCAGTTTTGATGCATGAAAATCTGCAATTCGACCATCTTCGGTGCCGGGATCTGGAGACCATAGTCGCTTACCATAACCATTACCGCTTACAAACGATGTGGCCGCTTGAATGGAAAAGTTAGCATCGGGATGCCTCATTACATCATGTTTGAAGACAATGAAAATGTCGCCATAATAATGACCAAGATGTGGCCCAAGAATACTAAAAACTTGTTTATCAGTACCGAGCTTTTTATCAGGTGCATAGCCGATGCCCGCTGGATTTGCTTGAAGATTTAAAGATGCTTTAGCAACATCAATCGCGTTTTGTTTAATCACTTCGATATCTTTGGAACGCAAAACTGCAGATATTATTCTTTCTTTTGATTTTATTCTATGCTCAAGTTCGTCTTTGTCTGAACTCGAACGTGATTCTGAAGTGCCATGGTTAGTGTATTCAAGAGCGACAAGAGCTTCAATATATTCGAGTACATTATCATTTAAAGACTGTAAATTCTGATGGTTCAAAATTTTTCTTACTTCTGTGTGCTGTTGAACAGCATTAGCTGCAAATTGGGGTTTTCGCAAACGAAGCATATACTCACGCGACATGACATGTCCATGGACAAGTATAGATTCGAATATTATATTGGAACAGCGATGCACTGGTTGAAGACCTCGAATCCAATCTAATAATTCTCCTGGTATGGATGCTTTTGTCCACTTCTCTTTTTTTGCGTATTCACTAATTGCTTGAATAAGGTTCTTTTGATTTTGAACAAAATCAATATCATTGTTCAAACCATTATGACGTATAACACTACTACGATCAAAATATCCGTTATGTCGATAACGTTGAATATGTTCGTGTTTATTTGCATCTCGACATTCATAGATTGGATACGGACATAATCGACGTATATCATTAATATCTGTATGAGTAAAGGAATCTAAATGGTCTTCTTCATCCATTTTTCGGCATTTCCTTCCATATTGACAGATATGGCGTGCTACATGTATTGTTTTCTCCCAGTGCAATTCAGGTTTCTGGTGGCATTGACGACCAAAACGACATACATGAGAAAAGTTCAGACAATGATCTTGAACAGAGATAGGTAATGCCTGAATATTAGTGGATTGTGAAAGTTGATCGAATTGTGAGCAGTGATATGGAGTAAAGGGACAAGGTTTTATGAATGGATGACTTTCTTGTGCAATATGTTTTGAACAGTGAAAATTTGCACAGAAGGCACCATGGTGACATATCGGTCGGCAATGCCGATAATCTTGACAATGCTTTGGTATCTTTCGCTTAAAATCAAGACATTCTATACCATGTCGACACAAAGGTAAATGCCGAAGAGATTTCAGATGTTCCGGATTCATGATATCGCATTCTCCTCCATCTGGACAAAATTTCGGATGTTCATATTCGCTTGAATGTTGTTCTTTATCAATTTCTCGACATTCGCCACCATATGGACATTTAGGGCGATGAACAAAGAAAAATGTGTGATCATCGTCGCTTCTCTGTTTACAAGACATTGAACTACCCGCATTGGGACATAGAGGCGGATGTGAAAATTCACAACAATGTTGTTCGTTATATAAGTTACTGCATTTGGCTCCATGTTGACACGGTCGTCGATCAAAAATGCGAACATCGCTCAAGCTTAGTTCTCCATTATATGAATCATTCAAAACTCGATACGGTCCGATGCTCATGCCGGCTATTTTATTTAGCATTGATTGTACTTCCAAACCAGCTAATAACTTTTTAAATGGTTGATAATTTCCATTTGGATTGAATTGTTGTCTTGCATTATGATCATCAACAATAGCAAAATAGATGTTCTTGAAAAAGCCGGCATATTGTTCAATTACTGATTTAAAGATAGCAGCAACGTGTTCTGGTGGGTTTTTGAATGCACCACAACCGAGAGCAGATAGAACCAAAGAATCATGGCTATGATGATAAGCAACAGTAAAAATAGTTTCGATTTTTTTACGCATATCGACAGCGTATTTTGGTGTTAGTCGACCGTTCTCCACCTTAGGTTCTCGATAAGCAGCTACGCCAATTGAGCACACATTATACATGGGTTCACGCATAAACGCATAACCTGTTTCTTCTGATTGTCGAAAAACAGTAAGACCAGAAGTATAAATTGCGCCGAATGTGTCTATGGGATACATCTTTTCATTCTGAGATAAAGGCTCCAGTTCACCTTTTGCTTTGCAATAGAAGCGCTCCGTTGGTTGTCCGTCATCGAGTCCCATATCAAGACTTCGATAGTAGTCAGAACGACGGAAGAGAGTTTCTTCTTGGGCTCCATCACCTTTCCGATAACCACCTCCAGGACTGTGAGCATTAGCCATGTTAAGGAGAAGTGGATGACGTCCTTGAGAAAGTAATCTTTCATACGTAAGAAGACAATCTTCTTGTAAAACATCAACATTGGTAGAAGTATAAGGCGGTATCGATGTACTTGAAAGAGATGTTTTAGTTTTAGGTGCCAACTTCGATCGGTGATCGTACACAATAGTTTTTAAACGGCTAGGTTTCAGGCGAACTTCCTTTCCATCTACAACATAACTCTTTTTTTTCACTACTCCTATGGTATTTAACATCACTGTTACTCGTAACATATGTCGTTTTACATCACTCGAAGCTGCTCGATGATCACGACCCGAACGTGCGCGATTTACATCTTTCGTACTACGAAATTGCTCTAGCCATAGGGCTGAATTCCATTTCAAACGAAAGATTGGATGTTGTGGTTGAGTAATAAATGGCATAATATCCGGTTTGTGATCACGCATATCGGTTTCATACCAAGTCTCTGCATCTATTTCACTTTCTTCTGGATTACTTAGAAATGTAAAAGCTTCCATATGCATTAATTGTCCTTTCACACGAAGAGCACCTTGGTTTACACATTGATCATATACATTTTTATCAGAAAGTTCGAGAATAAGATTTTCACCACTTTGGGTTTCACTAACAACTGTGCTAGCAAATATTCGTTGGTTTATAATCTCTTGAACGGGTATATCCTTTGGTATTGGTCGTATGACAAGACGACAAGCCAAACTTTGTTTCTTCGTAAACACGCGTCCATCCAACTCGAGAGAACTACATGATGTCCATTTTCGAGCAACTTCACTTGCAAGAATAACTGCATTGCCTGCTTCTTTGTTATGCTGAATATAGAGTGATGTTTCTAAAAGAGTTTTTTCTTCGACTTGAACAGTAATAGCTTTTCGTAACTGATCTTGAGTAACAGTTCTAGGAAGATTTTCAAGAAAACTGCAATCAGCACGAAAGTAGACTGTCGCAAACATATGATTAATTGAAAAGTCTTTAATAGACATTGCTCTGACTAGTTCGTCGAGTGACTGAGTGGCAATTTGAAAGATGTTTGGAAATTGAACAGACAACACATCACAACTCAATGGACGGCTCGTTTTGTATGAGCGCATCCATTGCTGAGCAACTTCATCAGCAGATGGCAGATCTTTTGTTTTTGGATCTAGAACTATATATGAGATGAGTTCGATTTCACCAACAAACACAATCATTAAGCCACGTTTTGCATCTAGTACAATTGATTCAAGTTCATTAATGAAATATTCTTTATCTTTCTTGCTAGATACCTTTATAACACCTATGCCCAAATCAGTATAACATTTAACAACAACTACATTATCTTTTCCAGTCAGATTCTTCAATTTGCGGAGAATCATTATTTCAAGTTCTTGGTTGTTGCCAATATGTGATGGAAGTTCAGGAATGTATACAATTTTATCGTCGTCATTGTTTGAAAGTGATTTACTTATAATCGTCTTTTTTCTTGATTCTGGGGTTATTATAGTTGTCGAACCTTTTGATTGTTGCGAACTAGACGATGTAGAAGTACTTTGTGTTGGTTTCGCTCGATCAGTTTGTTCATTAGTGTCATGTAATACTGAAGGCGACTTTTTTTTAACGCTCACGACTGCAGATGAGGAGGCAGAGTAACGATGCGCAGACGACATCATCGATGTCGGGTCGTTATTTTGAGCATTTAAAGCAGATGCTTTGGTAGACGATCCAGATGACGGTGAGTTTTGATAAGGATTTTTGCTATCTTGTTCAGACGATGGCGAACGTTTTGTTCGATGGTGCTCGAGACGAGGGGCAGTTGTAGACGTTGAAGGAGATCGAGCACTTCTAGCTGATGATTTCATATCTGGATAGATCGTACACTTTTTAGAAGTTGAAACTGAAGGCGATTGGCTTCTTGATGAAGAACGAGAAGATGAATGTTCTTCATTTTTTGATGACCTAGAAGACCGATATTCAACAGGAGAAGTTCGAGATCGTGTTTGTGAAAGACTTTCTTGGTCTTTTTCCAATCTGCCAATCGGACGTGTATCTGAGTGAGAATTAGCACAGCGCATGTCTTTGTTGTTATTGTCACTGTCATACTTCCGACATTTCCACGACGCCCTATCGATGATGGAGTCTTGCGGTGATGGAAATGATGCATCGCTATCTTCCTTATGTGCTTTTCCTAAACGAAACAATGAAGATCACGATTTATCATCAATTAATTTTAAAAAAAGATAGTGCTCGACAAAAAAGAATTTTCCATTTCACTGACGTTCTTTAAGTGTTTGCACACTAAAATCCACGCTAATCTTTCGAACATTCATAAAATTCTTCAACCTAGCCATAAATTAGGGTGTGGGTGTGGGTGTGGGTGTGGGTGTGGGTGTGGGTGTGGGTGTGGGTGTGGGTGTGGGTGTGGGTGTGGGATTTGGGTGCGTGGATGTGGGTGTGGGTGTGGGCGTGCGTGCGGGG